AGCAAGCGCTCCAAAGTGCTGCACAAGTGTTAATTAAGCCACAAGTGTAATGGTCTAAAACCATTAGATGGGATGTAACTTCGATTCCCTTGTGCAGCTGCTGGCACCAGGGGTGGCTGCGTTTGGCACTTTCATTTTGGCCATGGCGCTTCCTGGTTTAATACCTGAGGCCCTGTCAGGGTGGTGTGAATGTTGTTGCATTGCCTGGTTCTGCCAAGTGCATCATATAGAATACGAGTAACACAAACTCATGCTTTCTGTAAATTAGTGTTACTTACTTTAACCGGCCTGTCTAAATAATTCGAATGTCCACAGAATCACAGAGCGGAGGAGACTCTGTGGGGCAGCCACAGCTTCTCTGCGCACCCTGTGCCAGCGCCTCAGCACCCTCACAGGGAAGGATGTGTTTTAGTATTTTACCTGATGTGCAGCAAAAGCCTTAGAAGAAAGTAGTCTGAGTGTCTGTAACATCACCCTGTAATTCTTCATTCATGCTCCTGTAAAAAGAAACTAATCTCAGCGGTCTGTCTGCAGTGTAGACTAACAGGCAGAGATTGATTTTCAGAAATGCAGCAATTCTAAGTTCTAGGAGCACATAAAAACATCCCAAACCGTTTCCTCATATCCCAGACTTTTTTCCTCATATCCATATTGCAAAAGTCAACAGTGCTGGAGTTGTGGTTGGGTTGTGTCCAGTGCTGGGGGTGCTCAGAGGGCAGCTGGCAGGGAGAGCATCAAGTTTCCCTGAGAATTGCTTTCTGGCAGATAGTAAAATACTTTTTCTTTAGGAAATGGTGGATCGACTCTTCATGTTCTTCAGTGCCTGGAAGACCTGTATGGTGACAAATGGACATCCTTTATTGTGCTGCTAATTCATTCTGGTAAATTCTGGTTTACATTTCACACTACAATTGTATGCAATTTGAGTAATATTAACACATGTTCTTCCCTGTGAGGGTGCTGAGGCGCTGGCACAGGGTGCCCAGAGAAGCTGTGGCTGCCCCATCCCTGGCAGTGTCAAGGGCAGGTTGGACACAGGGGCTTGGAGCAACCTGCTCTAGTGGAAGGTGGCCCTGCCCGGGGCAGGGGTTGGAGCTGGAGGAGCTTTAAGGTCCCTTCCCACCCAAACCGGCCTGGGGTTCTGTGATCTGGTTATTTGAATTTAGATTGGTAGCTGGGAGAGAGCACTGTCACTCGAGCATTTCTTCTCAGCACTTGCGTTGTTCGATCAAACCATGAGGGAAAAAGTGTAATTCGGAGTGTCTGAATTTAGCTGCTGCCCTGAAATGCCCCATAAGGAACATGTGGCCCCCTTGGGTTGGACCTAGAGGCCCTTGGTACTACGGGCAGGTGGAACACTCGCCACCTTACCAACTAGAACACTTCCAGAAGGGGCATCAGTTTTGCAGAGCAGAGAGGAACCAGGTAACAACACACCCCCTGCCCAAACCACTGCTGCTTTGCCTCAGCTCTGACTTGAAATTACTGGTGGGGCTGGGGGTCCTCCTTATTCTCAAGCTAAAATCAGGCATCATTTGCTTGCTTCACGTGAGTTATAGACAAGTGGCCCATGTTCCAAAGTAACGGCAAAATGAAATGAACCACTATTGTAACATAAGTTATTCAAGGCATGTTAAATTATGGTCATCAGGTCAGATCTGCTTTGAGAAATGTTTGAAGAATGACTTATGTATTCTTACATCTGCAACTTTTTGGTGCATACTCAGTATATGACCAAACTGGGTTTTAAACCCTTGTGCATACATAAAAGAGCTGCAGAGGTTTAGCTTTTGCTCATGTGCACAGTGTCTCTGTATAACTAAAACTGTCCTTTTCCTCAAGGCGGTTACAGTCAGCGCTTGCCCAATGCAAGTGCCCTGGGAAAGGCTTTCACAGCTCTGCCGCTGGGTGATCCCATGTACCAGATGCTGGACCTGAAGCTGGCCATGTACATCGATTTCCCCAGCCACATGAAACCAGGAGTTCTGGTTACGTGTGCGGATGACATCGAGCTGTACAGCACTGGGGTTACGGAGACAGTCACGTTTGATAAGCCTGGGTTCACCGCCTTGGCTCACCCTTCAGACCTGACGGTGGGGACCACTCATGGAGTGTTTGTTTTGGATCCAGCCAGTTTTTCAGGAAAGGGAGGACTCGAATACACGTCCTGCCATCGTTTCCTGCACAAACCTGCTATTGAGACCATGCGGCAGCACGGGGCCATGTGTATGAGAGGCAATGGTTCTCTGCCGACTGCCCCTGGAGACCGTGGTGACTCCGAAATGGGCTCTGAGTGTGTGTACACGGACAGTATATTTTACATGGACCATAGCACTGCAAAGAGACTGCTGGCATTTTATAAGGAGATGGGCACTCTTTGCTGTGAAATAGATGCTTATGGTGACTTCCTCCAGGCCCTGGGACCCGGAGCCACGCAAGGCTACACCACAAACACAAGTAGCATCACAAAAGAGGGATCACAGTTGGTAGAGGTGCGGCAGAAGCTGTACTCTCTCCTCAAAGGAACTGCACTTAATGTTGTAGTCTTAAGCAACTCCAAGTTCTACCACCTTGGAACTACTGAGGAGTATTTGTTTCATTTTACATCTGACAGCGAACTGAAGTTTGAACTTGGATTATTGCCTGTGGCCTTCAGCATCTTTTCTGACAGGGCCTTGGCTCAGTCAGCGAGTGTCATGCACAGTATACTGGAGCCAGGCTGTCTTGTAGGACCTGGATCCATCATTGAGTACTGCAGGATTGGACCTGAGGTCTCTGTAGGGGAGGGCAGCATTATCAGTGGGTCAGACATAAATGGGAAAGTAGATGTTCCTTCACACTGCTTCCTGAGCTCACTGTGTGTGAAAGCTGACCATGAGGTGCAGTATGTGAGCATGGTGTTTGGTGTGGAAGATAACTTGAAGAGCAGTGTGAGACTGCTGTCAGACATCGGTTCACTGCGGTGTTTTGGAGTCAGCTTGCTGGAGTGCCTGGAGATCTGGGGTGTGGAGGTGTCGGAGCAGCTCTTCTCCAGTGGGAGCACAGGGTTGAGCTTGTGGACTGCGAGGCTTTTCCCTGTCTGCCCCACGCTGGGGGAATCGGTCAGCATGTCGCTGCAGATGGTGCATTCTGTGCAGCACATGGCACCCCTCACATTGCACGGCTTTAGGCGCTTGTCTGTGCAAGAAATGCTCAGCTGCAAAGAGGTGGAAGGCATGATGAAGTTCAGGAAGCAAATTCATGATGAAATCCATCTACGAAGGCGAAAAGAGAAGTCTGATCTGTAGAACAAACAGTGCTTCAACAAAACTCCTGTGTTGGTTTGTGAATGGTTGGTACTGCCCAGCTTGTGAAAATCATAAGAGAAAAGCACACAGATCTTGTCTGTGACTTCATTAGAGGAGGAATAATGAAACTGCATTAGCAGCGTTGTTGTAGCATGACACGAATGATGCAGCAAATGCAGATAAACTGTTCTTCTGATGAGAGAAGTACTGAACTATTTCAGATCTCTGCAAACTGTGATTGGTGACTCTTCCTGGGGTGCACATCACTGTGTTCTGTGGCCCTTGTCAGGAAGAGTGTGATACAGAACTGGTTCATGGAAATTTGACTGAAAACTGCTTTAGAAGTTTTTCAGAGTAGACTGTTAACTGCAGCAACATGGCGTGATGTAGCAATAACTTGTGTTTCTCTCTTTTCATGCTGCCTTTATACAGTGATGTGTCAAATAGGAACAGATACAGCTATTAAAAGTACTTTTAAAATCCAGGCACCCTGTCTTAAGCATTAATCATTTTCTTTCTCTATTGGTTTTGTAATGTTTTTAATACTTCCTTGATTTTCATTAGAGGAAAAAGCTTTGCATGAGGGATTGTTCTTTCCTTTGGTAATATTGGGGTCAAAACCTGGCATCAAGACACACTGATTGTTCTGGGGTTTTACCATTAGTTGTTTGGAATCTGGTAGTTTGAGCAGCTCCCAGCTCTGTTAGCCACAGATTCACCGATGTGTGCCACAGGAAACCCTGCATCCTGTGTTTCTCTGAACTGAACTGTTGGAATTCTTGGAGAAGAACTTCCAGTAATTTCCAAAGAGCCACAGGTAGCACGGGTTTGCCCATCAATGCTCAGTGCTCACACAGACCAGTGGAGCAGGGGACAGACGCTCTCTGGTGTGAGTGGTACCACCACCACCTCCAGAGAACATGTGGGGTCTGTTCTCTCATCCCTTTCTTCACCCTTCGCTAATAGAATGTCCTCTTGCTCCTAGCTGAGGTGCCACAGATCCAGCTGCAGACAGGTGAGTGTGATCTTTATACTCTGTTCTGGCCATTTCGTGCTGGTTTTTAGAGTGTGCTGTGCATTCCACCAGTGCAGTTTGACTGCGAACACACACATCCTTCTCTCGCGTTCATGTGTGGGCTTTCATGTTTTGTTGAATGTTTCGGTGTAACAGTGTTTGTCTCTCTGCTGACTGAATCCCCTCATAACTGAATCCCCTCATAGCACCTTTCTTATGCCACCTGCAAGGTAGCAGCGTAGTATCTCCTGAATCTTACCTGAGCTGGTTTAGCTTTCATCAGGTTCCTTCCTCAGTAATAAGGAACCTTTCAAGAGACACAGGATTTTTCCTGAGCATCTCCTGAGCAAAAGGAAGCACAAAGGAGCAAGTTGGGGAGGTCGAGAATTGCTGAGGTTGACATCAAAGGAATAAGGAGCATTTCTGAGCAAAGAGAGGTTTTAAAGATCATTCTAAAATACTAGTTTAACAATGGAAAGAGCAGCAGGTTTGAAAACACTGAAAGGGAAATGCCTGAAGTCACAAAATAAAAATAGCCACAGAACTCGGAGCATGGAGTTGAGGTTTGTGTGTTACCCCACCTGCAAAACCTGTGTTAGAGCATACAGATCATCTCAGAAAAACTAATGTTTGATACAGACTTTGCGTCTTCAGCTGGAGACCAAACTGTTCCGAGAAGACTTCCCTGCTGGAGGCTTTGCTGCCAGAGAAGCTTTCTGGATGTTCAGTGACAGTGCAAGGGAGTTACTTGCTTTTAACATGATTATTCACTTTAACTGTCACAGTCATGTTTACTCTAAATTCCCTAAGTCCCAGGTGGGTGTTTCAGAGCTGCAGGCGGTCTGGTGTAAGGAGAACATGGGTTTGCTTTTGAGACCCAAGTAATGGGGAAAAATTATGAGGAACTTCCCACAGCCTGTGGGGAGTGTTTTTGCTGGACACAATTGAAGAGCAGCTGCTATGGTCTTGGAAGTGGTGTTCCTTCCAGGAAGAGAAGGGATCGAGAGTGGAATGCTGGTCTCAGCAGGCTGCCCCAGGCTCTGTCAGTCCATGGAGGGCACAAGGAGGGGGAAGGGGTATGTCTTAGAGCGTTTCAGACCTCCTGGTATGCTGCTCCCATGTCTGTCCTGCCTGAGACTGCTCCAACCTGCTGACCCAGCTGCATCCGGGAAGGGTCAGAAGCAGGTACTCATGTCCCTGCAGAAAGCGTTGTTCTGGGATGTTCTGTCCTTCCCTGTCTTTCCTTAGCCCTGCCCCTGTGTCAGAATGACCCAAGTTCCTGTGAAGTGGTGAGTGTTGCACCAGGGCTCTTCCCTGTGAGGGTGCTGAGGCGCTGGCACAGGGTGCCCAGAGAAGCTGTGGCTGCCCCATCCCTGGCAGTGTTCAAGGGCAGGTTGGACACAGGGGCTTGGAGCAACCTGCTCTAGTGGAAGGTGTCCCTGCCCGGGGCAGGGGTTGGAGCTGGAGGAGCTTTAAGCTCCCTTCAACACAAACCAGTCTGGGGTTCTGTGATTTGTATGTATCCTTGATGACACGTTTGAAAAATGATGTTTATTTAGGCACTGGGTAAATCTTTTGCAGTGATTAATGAAGCATGTGGTTTTCAGCTAGAACAAACTTAGCCCTTACAAGAAGGGCTATGTTATGGTGTGACCAAATCTTACTAAAACCCAAAAGGCTTCAGCCTGGACGCTTCCTGACGATGATGATCTCAAGTTGATGTACGCAGTATCTGTTTGTATTCTATTCATGTTGCATGGTACAAACTTCAGCCCATCTTTTTCGCAGTGTGCTGTAAAGGTAGGTGACAACTGTTTTCTCATGCAACCAGCTGGGATAATCTTGTGCCAGGGAAACTGAGAAGCTTGTGCAAGGCCACGCAATAAAATCTAATAGCAAGATAATAGTAATTGTGGGGTTACTGGTTTCTAGTATCAGATTCTGATCTATGGCATCCTGGTCCAGGGGTTCCCTCCAGTCTGAGCAATAAAGGATGCAGTGCTCGGAGTGCCGATCAGGCCAGAGCAGGAGGAACAGGAGCATCTGTTGCAGTCTGGAGTCTGACTTTCACAAGGCTCCCAAGTTTCCTGGCTGGACACAGTTTCCATACAGGCCTCTAGATCAGTGCCTGGCTCCATCTCTCCTGAAATGCATCTCAGGCTGGTGCAGTCTCAAATAAACCAAGATGAGTGTTTAATGATTTTATTCATGTCAGCTTGCTTTATTTAATTAGGTTTGCTGTGTAGTGCAATAATGGGCCTCATAATGGACATCGTCTCAATGATTTCCCTGAATGCCTTGGGAGCATGCTCCAATGATCAGGGATTTAGCCCTTCTGCATGTGTTACACTGTGCAAGTGGAGAGGAGGATTCTTTCAGTCACCTTTTGGGCAGGGAATTGAAACCTGAGGAGTTAGGCCCTTAAAAGAGAACAGGAGAGAGGCGGCTGGAGCCAGAGTGAGCAGCTGAGAGGATCGTGCCAGCAGGACCCGGGGGAGCGATGGAGGAAGGTGAGCACCAACAACCACCCAGATCCACCGGGAGCATCCTTGTCCCGGACGGGCTCCCCAGGCAAACTTGTTCCTAAGTCCCCGGTGCAGCAGCTTCATGCTCTGATCACTGCACACGTGGAACATGAATCCTGTGCAAACGCCACTGCAGCACTGTGAGAGCAGAACCAGCAGCACTGCTCTACACGTGCCTTTTAATCCCCTCCCAGGGAAGCCATGAGACCACCCGCTCCTTATCTGGGCCACAGAATTCATAGAACCATAGAATCATAGAGCGGTTTGGGTTGGAAGGGACCTTAAAGATCATCCAGTTCCAACCAATTCCTCATACTTCATTTTCATAAAGGTGCATTTTCTTTTAGAGCCCTTTTCCTTTCCTGTGACAGGTCAGAATGTCACCAGAGTGACATAGAAATGTGTGGGAGCAACTTCCCACCTCCCAGAGTGAACGACGGGTATGGCTATCTTCTAACTAACTTGAAATAAAGACCATTCAAAGGGCTTGGTCCTGTAAAGCGTTTCCGTGGCAGACACTGGGAATCAGAGGTGGGAAAGGAAGCCTTCACATGTTTCTCTTGCAGGGTTGGACACGTCACTGGCATGTGCCAGCCATGCAACTGCAGTGACTCTGCTGAGCAATCAGCCAGAGGCGCTCGGTCAGCTCAGTGTTGTGTGAGCGCCGCAGCCGAGGGCTCTGCTCGCCGAGGAGCGCTGCCCGGGGGTGCAGTGCTTCTGGTGTAGATGTGGATTAGAACCTGCCCACCAGAGCCGTTGTTCCTTGTTCTCTGTTTGCAAATGCTCTGCAGTTACTCCTTTTGTCCTTTTGTCCCTGTTCTCAGTTACTCTGCAGCTGCCCCGCAGGTGGGATCTGAATGTGCAGAATTCACCTGGAAGCTGCATTCATGGTGTTGCATTGGCTCTGCTGACTGACCGGATGAGCCTCCGGTGCTGCAGCTGCCAGAGCTCTCCCTGAGTGTCCATAGGAATGAATATTCACCCACACAAATATATGCAAAAAGTGAGGAAAATATGGCACAAAACTGATGGCTTCTTTTCGATAGATTTCCATGAAGTAGATGGTACTAGAATATAAACAACATACAAGGTATTTGCTGCTTTTTTAAAGCAAATCATTTTATCTCTATCTCATGGAAATTTAATGCACTTACTTTATAAGGCTGTTGTATTAAAATGTGTTTTCTGTGCAAAAGCGAACGGAACTTTTCCTGGGTTTTGGAGTCCATCCTGTCAGGATTTGCTTGGTCTGGATGGAAGAAAACTGTTCCTCAGGCATCCAGGAGCACCAGAAACCATTTTGTCACTTCCGCATTATTTTTCCTGGCATTTCCCAGAATCCCAGCCTGGTTTGTGTTGAAGGGAGCTTAAAGCTCCTCCAGCTCCAACCCCTGCCACGGGCAGGGACACCTTCCACTAGAGCAGGTTGCTCCAAGCCCCTGTGTCCAACCTGGCCTTGAACACTGCCAGGGATGGGGCAGCCACAGCTTCTCTGGGCACCCTGTGCCAGCGCCTCAGCAGCTCACAGGGAAGAGCTTCTGCCCCAGAGCTCATCTCAATCTCCCCTCTGGCAGGTTCAAGCCATTCCCCTTGTCCTGTCCCTACATCCCTTGTCCAAAGCCCCTCTCCAGGTCTCCTGGAGCCCCTTTAGGCACTGGAAGGAAAACAAGCGCTTTTGGCTACTGATGGCAGTGGGAGAGGAGATACCTCCCTGGGTGCTGCATCCACCACTTGGGTGCGCATCACCAGTGCAGTCGGTTGCTTGGCAACTGGATGTGGAGGATCTGCCACCAGGATGGTTCCTTCTTGCAAATACCTGGTTGAATATCTCAGGGTGTATTGTCAAAGTCTTCTGAAACACATCCTGGGTTTACCTATAGATCAGTGCAAATAAAGGGATGAGCTCGTGCTGTGTCAGGAGCTCTCAGGGTGCAGGTTTGTTTACAAGGGGATGCAACATGGTGAGGATGTATGTGTGTGAGTTGTATGGACTTGTCTTCTTGTCTGAAATCCTTCACTGATAAAACTACCAACTTCAACACAGAGCAGCTGCCAAGGTCAGTCAGCACATGTTAAATACAGAATAGGTATATACACAGATACAAATATATAGATATTTACAAATCTATGACTCTGTGTATATTTGTACATGTATATGTGCACCAAATACAATTTTGCAAAGCAATTGAAGGAGGAAAAGAGGCACCTACAGAGACCAGCGTGAACCCCCCAGCTGGCTGGGACAATAGATGTGAAGAAGTTCATCCCATTTGGTAGAAAAGGGAAGGAAACGGACGTGAGGAGGGTAGGCTGTGGCTGAGCAGACCTGTGCTGACCGCGTTTCTGAGGACATGCAGTTTGTGCGGGTGACAAGGAGGTTATTTCCCTATTATGAAATCTTCCACCACTCTGAAGCACAGACTTTTGCTGATAGGAGTTGAGATCATCTCTGGCCTCCCCAGAGAGGGGACCCCAGCACCTCTTGGGGATCCTGGAAGCACCCTTGGGAGTCAGCTTCCTAAATTCCTCTTCCTCTACAGAGCTGGTAGCAAGCTGCCGAAATACCCACCTCAGCAGCAGCACTGGGTGATGAGCAGGTGGCAGGAGGTGGTTCTGTTTCTGTTGACACGGGCATGGGCTGGGACGGAAGCTGAGCAGGTACCAGCATTGTTCTGCGCAGCTGGCTGCCGCGCAGGCTGTTCCTCTCCCTGTCTTTGTTGCATGACATTCCAGTTGGCACAGGGTTTATTTTTAGCCAGTGACTATCAAAAGCATTTTTCAGGAGGACTGTCCCTGCTCCTGACCAAGGAATCGCGTTACTGCGAGAGCTTTGCTGAGACAAAGAAGATATATTGGACAAATGGGAAATTACAAGTCCAGACCAACCCAGACTTGCACTGGTAATGAATGCTGCTTTTTTAATGCTGCCCACCAGACATCCATCTGCGAGGAGCAAATGCTATTTCAGGAAATAACTCATTGGTAATTTACTCTTGGGTTCAAGGCTGTGGTGTTGTATTGTTCTTGGTTTACAAGAGAAAGGCTTCACCCAAACTGTGTGTACACCCTGGGAAAGAAGGCAGAAAGACAGTAAAGTAGATTTCTTTATGAAGATCATATTAACTTGGATTATTACATTGCTTTAGCTTGTACTTCACTAGGAAAACCTTTAAACTTCCAACTTTTTTATGCTGTGTGTCTGTGCTCAGATTTAGAAACTAAGAGCTAACAAATGCAACCTAAGCTTTAAGTTTGCTCTCGCTCCAGTTAGACTATTCCTGATAAGGATTCAGATGTAGTAGTTGTCTGTGAAATCAGTGTATGTGTGTCTATATTGGTTGCCGCAAGAACAGCTTACTGGCTGCAGTATTTAAACTTCCACACTTAATGGAAAACTATATGAAACTCTGCAACTGGGTGTTTAAACATCAAGTGCTTTGGTTACTGGGACATCATGGTTTGAGTTCCTGGGTTTGATGTGTTCTGAAGTGATTTATGAATCGGGTTTTTTGTTGGCAGATGAATGGAAGAAAAAAGTGAGTGAATCCTATGCTATCATCATAGAGCGGTTAGAGGATGACCTGCAAATCAAAGAGAAGGAGCTGGCAGAACTGAAGCACGTTTTTAGGTAAAATACTCTGGAAACCTGTTATTAATTTCTTTCAAAGGAATATCTGCCATTAAACAGCAATTTCACTTTCAGGTGTTTTCTCATGGAAGGACTTTGTCATGTACAAATGCATGTTCTTTAATGGCTATTTCTGGGACAGAGTCCTGCAACACAGTGCCAGAGGTAGTGGCTGTTAGTTACTGATGCCAGTATCTCACAGCAAATGCCTATATACTTGTGTAAGTCAGTCAGCTCTAACGGGCTGTTGAACTGTGTTGGGTGCTTCCCAGTTCTGCTGATGTGGTTCTTCAGGCAGGAATATTGCTGGAGTCACAGATTCTCAACAAACACAAGCAGGTTGTCTTCTGAAAGTGCATTTCAAGTTCACGTTTGTAAGTGCTTTCTCAGGGCAGCACTTGCCACCAACCAAGGTCACCCAACGAGGTAATATATATTTATATGCTCATTATCTGAAAAGCTGAAATGCAGGAGCCACACAGCTCAGTGACTGTGAGGATGTGAAGATCATGATCAGGTGAATAATTCCAGACATCAAACGCCCTTGGAAAAACAGGGGATTCTAATCAGAAATAAATTACAAGCTCAAAAAAACCCCCAACTGGTCTCATAAATCATTTACTGTGCTCACTGCCAGCACAATTGGCACTGATGGAGCCTGGGAATTGAAAGAGGACATTGGGCTTTCATGGACCACTTTGGCCATGATCCATTAAAGTACTTCAGTACTTGCCTCATTTTAAGCCTGTTTAGTAGTAAAACGAATATCTTAACAAAGTGGAGCTAGAGTTCTCTTTATTTTAGACGAGCAAAACATCTAAGAGTAAGTATGGTAACAGTGCTCAGCTCCTGCGTTAGGTGTAAGAACACAGAAACCCCAAACTTTGAGGTTAGCAGACTTTGAAGGTACAGCTTAGCAGTCTGCCGCAGGGGCCCATCTAAGCCTCAATAAGATGCCAGCCGAACTCTGCTTCTTACATGAAGGGCACTGCTCTTTCCCACAGAGGGGGTGGGAATTAATGATACTGGTTAACGTTGCATTGGAAATGGTGTTTGTGTAGTCAGGCAGTGTTCTCTTTTCAAAATGCCTTCGCCCATGGCTATGAAATCAGGTTTTGTGGCATCTGAAATCCAGACATGGCCAGTGTTAAAAATCAACCCATCTCAACTATATGAGACCTGTTCTGCAGCAGCAGTGGCTATTCTGGGAGCACTGCTCATTGCTGAAGCAGCAGAGGAATTCATAGTTTTTCCCCATTATTAAAACAAATTCATTTATTTAAAAGATTTAGGACTGAGAACATGGGTGGTTGTTGGAGCGAGGGCAACGCAGGGAGTTCACCTGGGGGAGATGAAACCAGAAGCTGTTCGAGTCCCTGCTCTGGAAGGTTTAGAGCATAAGCAGGGTAAAAGTGAGCCAGCCTGGCAGTGAGCTGCCAGCACTCCCCATCATTCCCACTGCACTCAACGGGCATCTGTCCAGTGCCACAGAAAACCCAACAGTTGCAATAGTGAGAAGTACATGTATAAGTAGCACAGCACATGTCAGGGCCTGGGTAAAAGCTGTCCCTGTTCTGTTCTTGGAGCTCAGAGCTCTGAGTGCAATGGTTTAACTAAAAATACACCCTAAAAGTGAAAAGTCAGGATTTTTTTTCCCTAAACCACAAGATTAACTCTTAAGGGAATGAACTAGGATGGCACCGAGGTAAAACCAGCCCTGAGTGGAGTCATTTGAGCAAGTTTTCATTTTCAATATGGGCCTTTTAATCACAGCTTTTAATATATAAAATTGTCCTTGCAATTTTTTCCCACAAACCCATTATCATTTTGCCTGCTTGTAAGAACTCAAAACATGTGCAAATTGCACAGCGTTAAAGCAAAGTGAAATGTTTTATTATATTTCAATATGGGAGAAGTGGAAGATTTCAGTATCCAGCTTAAGGAACTTCCACATTTTGGAGGTTAAAACTGTCTCTTTGTCCTGGGTTCAGTGTTAACAGCTGAACCCAGGCCACTCTTTCAACATAAACCCCAGAAAAACAGGGTGGTTTAACATTTCCAAATGAACTTTGTCACTCTTCCTGAAAAAGAATCAGAAAACACAGGATTTATTCCTGGTTTAGAATGATAACACACACTGAACAAGCAGGATTTCCTTTAGGAAGGACTTATCTAGGAGAAGTAAAGGGAAGTCTCTGGCTTTGTCTTCACTTGAAATTTAGTTTAAACAATAAATCATTTCAATATTTATTGCAATTCCTGTGGCTGCTGCCTCTTCTAGGTTTATTCTGTGCAGCACTTCATTTCTGAGCCCTGGCAGGTGTTGTACAACAGGACATCGGTTTGACAAGGGGCTGTAGGGACAGGACAAGGGGAATGGCTTGAACCTGCCAGAGGGGAGACTGAGATGAGCTCTTGGGCAGAAGCTCTTCCCTGTGAGGGTGCTGAGGCGCTGGCACAGGGTGCCCAGAGAAGCTGTGGCTGCCCCATCCCTGGCAATGTTCAAGGCCAGGTTGGACACAGGGGCTTGGAGCAACCTGCTCTAGTGGAAGGTGTCCCTGCCCGTGGCAGGGGTTGGAGCTGGAGGAGCTTTAAGCTCCCTTCAACCCAAACCACTCCTGGATTCCATCATGAGAAGCATGGAAAGTAACAAACTATAAAATCATAGGTTTTGACATCTTTATGCACATTCTTTGTTTTGTAAAAAAGAACAGGGCATCAAGTGCAAATGCTCGTGTCTTTCAACGAGTCAGGCTTGACATGGATCCTATGTAAGAGTTACTTTATTGGAAACATGTTGATAACAATGACTTCATTTTAACTATTTATTTCGTCTTCGTGTGGCTGGGAAGCACTCTGAAATCATGAAGCTGTATTCAAATGTAACTCTCCACCGATGATGTGGAAGAAAATTAAACTATAGATGGAGCTCCACTTTGTCAGTGTCACAAGATGTGACGTTCAGTTGTCTGAGAACTGTAAGTGCAGAGATGTCTTCCCGTAGTCCCCACAGGTCTCAGACAAGCCTGGATATCAGGAGCTGATGTGCCCCTGGAACTGCAAATCCTCCACCAGAAATGTGGCTCTGGAAAGACTCCTTTATTCCTTTTGCCTTTAGTCATTGACTCCTTCCATGTACGTGCTCCCATAGATCATGTGTTGATGGTGTTTCTGTGACCTCATTTGGGGAACATCATTTGTGGGTGTTCTCCTTACTCGGCTCTTTTGCCTCCAGCTCTGTGTGTGCCCAGCACATCACTTTAGAGCAAGCACACAGATTTTAAACTCTGTCTCAGCTGTTATTGCATCACCTCAGAACCAGCTTTGCACGGATCATTTCTCTTGCTAAGGAGTCTTTCCTCTTTTTTCTCTAACTGAGTTGAATTCAGGCTCTGCTGTGACTGAAACGCAGGGTTGTTCAGAAAACAGTAAATCTGGACTCCCGCGTGATGTGTGTCAAGTGTTTCCAGACTTACAGAGTGCAAACAGGCTGTAAATTGAGCCCCAGGTCTCAAAAACTGCACTGAGATTTCTGTTTGAAAGCTTTTCCAAATGGCAGGGGATGTATGAGAGATGGAAACAGTGATTATCTGTAAACCCTCTCTTTGCAGCTCTGATGAAGCCTTCTGCAAAGTCAATCTGAATTACCGCACAGAAAATGGGCTCTCTCTTCTCCATTTATGCTGCATATGTGGGGGTAGGTATTTGAAATCCATTGTTCTTTACACAGCTCCTGGTTTGGGGTCTGATAACTGTCAGGAAGAGGGTGTTTTCAGGGAGCTTCCTCCCGTGCTGTCCTTGCTGACAGCTGGTTAAGCACCTCACAACGTGACTCTGAACCTCACTGCCGAAGGGGGTGACTCGATCTACACTGAGCCACGTTGTCGCTGATGCTTCAGACCAACAAGAATTTTGGTTGATAATGCCATGTATTCTGCTGCAAGTGTTCAAGTAATTCACAACTTGCTGTCCTCATCGGCTCATCAATCCCCGCTCGTGCAGTGTTACTCTACACTGCTGTATTCTGCACATGCCAGACTCCAGGAGAGGCACCTACTTTAGCAATCCTTTGCCATACCTACAGCACTCATTTTTCCAGTGCAATGAAAATACCTGTATTTCGTTTCATGGTGGTTAAAAGAAGAACAACCCAAACGCTTTAGTGCAAATAGCAGCTGATAGGATTTTTGCAGGCAGCAAACGAGGGAAGAGTGCAGGATGGCTGCTGGGGTGGTCATAAAAACACACTGATGGTGGAATTTTCCACTCTGATCCGCACTGCTGCTCTCTTATCCATAGTGGGTCATTGGTTCATGCACACATTTTGCTCTTGTTATACAAGAGCCAAAATCAGCTGAGAGGCAAAGAGAATTTACTCTCGGGTTTCAGCTCTGCAAATCCTGACTAATAACACTCCTAAAGGATTTGCTCCATCTCAGTTAGATGCCATCGTGAAGGAGGGCCTGATCCTGTGCTGCTGGAAACGCAGTGGATCTTTACTCTCAGAGTGCAAGGTCAGACCCAGAGGTGACACCAGTGCCTGTTATGATGCCATGTGGAAGGGGAGAGCGATGCTCCAGTTCTGGAGGAGCGGAGAAGGGCAGTGGCTGAGAAGTCCAGTCCGGCAGCATCTAGTGCCCTGTGGAGTGCAGCACCTCTGCGGTGAGGATGTGACGCAGGGGTTTGCTCCTGTACAGGTTCATCTCTCCTTAATACCCCGTGGAAGTGTGAGCAAACGGCCGGGCCATGGCCAGGTCTGCAGCCGCCCTGGGCTGGGCCAGGACGTGGTGCCCGGTGCCGGCTGGAGGTTTCAGATGTGCTTCATGGCTTGCCTCAGGCCAGCAGCTGGGCCACAACTGCTCTTTGCTTTCGAGCTCACACAGAAGTTTCTTACTTCCTCTGCACGTTCCTCTCTGCACATGACTTTGTTTCCCTTTTCTTTCTGAAGGTAACAAGTCCCACATCAGAACTCTCATGCTGAAAGGACTGCGCCCATCCAGATTAACCAGAAATGGGTTTACAGCTCTGCACTTGGCAGCTTATAAGGTAAACTGAACTGGTGAAAAGAAGTCCGATCTGAGCACTTTATTTGGGTGACCCACCTGGTTGGAGTCTCTAGTTGCTACTTCTGGTGAAAATGCAGATTTCACATTTACAGTGCATGGGAAATGACCTGTGCAGAGCCCAGCACAGGGAATCAGCAGGTGCTTTTGCAGTATCATCCATGAGGGTATGATGCTGTTTTAGAAATATTGATTCCTCATTCAGCTGCAGTATTAATTTTCCTCACTGTTTAGATTTATCTTTTGAGACTCAACAATAACTGCAGCGAGGAATAAAGTGGGCAAAGGCAGCACTTTCCTAAAGAATTGTTATGATCCTTACTTTGAGATAGAGCATCTTAGAGATTGAATCCATGTATAGACCAGCCCCCAAAGCACTTGGATTTTTATGGCTAATTCAGATCACATTTAGGAGCTTTTCTAGACTGTAACGTGCCACACTTAGACATCCCATAGGTGCCATAAGCTCACACAGCCTCTTTCCTCTGCAGAGCTCCCATGGCAGATGCAGCTCCCATTTGCTGTGTGTTCAAAGCTGGTTAAGCAGGATGGCACCTGTGTGCCACTCTTGATCCATAAGTGGTGTTGCCAGAGGACATGACGTGACAGATGGTCTTTAACCCAAACACCCAATTCCAGAGGCAGCAGGAA